ATGCATCAAAACTTTGCAAAGGAGAAACATGCTCTCCCATTCCTTACTATGCTAGTTCAACATGTTGGAAATGTATTTTTAAAAAGTATCCAAAAAGCTATGATACGTTCTCTATCCCCAGTCTGCTTTGTCAACTCAGTCCTCAAGTATCTCAGTGTGACTGAATTTACGCAATTTATTTTCCAGCCAGAATAAGATGTAGATTGTGCGTTTAAATTTAAAGTTTAACATTTAGGATTTTTTAATGTATCATATTGTTCTTACCCTTCTCTCTCATTACACTGATATATGTTATAGATTACCTGAATTGTTTATTAAACTGTGTGTGCCTCTGAGTTAGCTGGCACCCGCCTGGACTAGTCCCTGCTATTTTCTTGATGAGATTTCAGAAGTGGGTTGCTATTGTCTTATATTTAAGGAAGAATTACTAGCCCAAGGACACCCAGCTGCCTTCATGCCTAACGTGGGCTAGAATTCACCACCTCCTAGTTTTAGTCTGGCCATTTAACCACTGTCCCAACTAACTCTTTCTATTTAATTTTTAATTAATTTATTTTTATCCTGCATTTATTATTTTATAAATAAAGTGGAAAATATACCTTTCATTTTTCCCAAGAACAACAAACCTGTACAGTGGACTAGACTAAAAGAGTGACTGGAATTCTCCTGGTTTCTAGACTAATACCTTAACCCCTAAACCAAACTGGCTCTCTTAAACGTCCTCTTCTTAAAATACAGACATGATTTTATTTGTGGCATTTGATATCTGTATTTAAAATAAAGGTAGCCTTAATTTATATAACCACTTAAGGGAAGCTTTTAACAGAAAACTAAAACCCATGGACATTGTAAGAGGACAGTTGCATTTGTTTCTGTTAGCCAAAAATCAGAAGTTTGGTAATGACTGTTCAGAACTGTATAATTTAATGGAATTAAAAAGCAAAACTGTTGTGAGTGACAGCTCACTTTGTCAGATGCACAGAGTGAGTTATTAGTGTTTTATTAAAATCAGGATAAGGTAGAGGAGAAAAGTGGGGGGGGGGGGGCAGAGGTAATTATGTAGATGTAGGTCACAGTACATGTAAAAAAGATTACAAATGGCTTATCAACTAAACAGCTGTAATGTGGTAAAATCTCACTTCAAAATATTTCAGGCACGAAGCAGAATTTAGGACTCTGTTGTGGAAGAAATTCAAGAGCACTGAGACAGAAGAACAAAGATCCTGAATTCCTGACCTGGATGAAGCACCTCCTAGCTACCCTGAATGCCTTCTTGTCTGTTCACCAAATACTTGGGCCAGTAATGGTTATTTTCCTTATTCTCGACCACCTCCTCTTCTAAAATCATCTTATTCAAACAGTGTACTCCTGCTGTCGCTCTCAAAGAAACTGTCCTCTTTTGAACATCTCCAGTGTGACCCCTTGTGATAATAGAGGTATAAAGGTATATAGATAAAAGAGCTGCTCTTTTTGAGCAGCTGAAAGCAACCACAGCTTTCAGATGTATTTCTCCTACAACTCACACTGTAACAGGAGAGAAGTGCAGGATCAAAGACATAAGGGATCATGTGGCAATTGATCACAAGCCTAGGACAAATCACAACAGTCAGAACTGCTCTCCCTTCCAATTTTAGCATCAAGCAGAGCTTCCTTTAGGAAGGTCCCTCTGGGAGTGAAGCATGAGGATCTCCCAGTTTTTGTTTTTAATCACCATCCCGCGAGAACAGAGTCCTAGAATTAGTGGCCCTTGGATTCCATAAAGCGAATTATGATACAGAAGAAATGCATTCCTAGCCTTTAAGGATTTAGTTCATTCAACAGACTGCAAGTTGTCAATAAGACAATTGGTTAAACATCAGTATATATGCCGAAGCATTTGAAATAAAGCTAAGTTGGGTTTTCCTACACAAACAAGCAAAAAGAATTATCAACATACATAATACGTTTCATAATGACAATTAATTTGTTTTATGTACAACTTGTGCCTGCATAACCACTCTATCTTCTGCCTCCTCCTCCTCCTCCTCCTCAACTTATCCCAATTTAAATCCCACACCACATCAGTCTTGTCACGACATTGCATCTGATGAAGTGACCTATGGCTCACAAAAGCTTATGACTTCTCATACAATTTGTTAATCTGAAAAGGTGTTATCAGACTCCTCCTGATTTTAAAATTGAGAAATACAAGAAGATCAGGGGTGTTTTAGATGTTTTACTTTGCATATATTAAATAGTGTTGCACAATACAGATAGTCCTCGACTTACAACACTTCGTTTAGTGACTGTTCAAAGTTGCAACAGCACTGAAAGTGACTTATGACCATTTTTCAAAGTTGCGACCGTTGCAGCCTCCCCATGATCATGTGATCAAAATTCACATGCTTGGCAACTGGTTCATACTTATGACCGTTGCTGTGTCCGAAGGTCATATGATCCCCTTTTGCAATCTTCTGACAAGCAAAGGCAATGGAGAAGCCAGATTCACTTAACAACCAGATTACTAACTTATTAGCTGCAGTCATTCACTTAACAACTGATGCAGGAAAGGTTGTAAAATGGGGCAAAACTTAACAAATGTCTCACTTAACAACAGAAATGTTGGGCTTGATTATGGCCATAAGTCAAGGACTATCTGTACTGGTAAGATTCATACACTACACACACTGAGCGAGGGTTTTAGAGACATGTTGAGCTATGGTCTGATTACGGTAGTACAAAGTATAAAACCATAATGAGTGAAATCATGTATTACACAATGCCAAAATTAAAGAAACTGCATTAAGATTTAACATTGAAATAAGCAATCCTGGTATTTCAAGATCGTTTGATCAACCCCGGTTTCCTATTGTAGCACCAGTTGGAATATTAAAATGAAAGGGAGCATACTAGTCAGTCTTATCTCCCTGGCCAATGTTTTGCACATTATCTTATCATTCTCGTATGTCCCTTTTGATGCTTTTCTATCTGTATTCTTAACAATTATATCTCTCTAGCTGTCTTGGAACTGTGGGGGAGATAAAACAACAGCCAGCAATAAACCTCTGGTTCACTGTGTTCATCTTATGCATACACAATGCAAGCTGTTCGATCTGCAAGAGCTGCTAATCACTTGTTGTGTAACAGTTTTGTCTGAACTAGATAGATTGCAGCGGGGGGGAAACCCATTTGTAATAGAAATTAAAAGTTGACAGGATGATCTTTGTAAATCACAATCAACCTGGAAAATGATTGCAGTTCATACATAACCATATTTCCAAACAGAATTGGGGCCAAACCGTCACGTAGATTGTAGAACCATATATAAGATGTATGCATGATAACATATCTTTCTTAATCCAGATAGGCAAATATAAAGCTACCTGCAATGTTGTTATTATATACTACCTTATTATATATGCACATGGATATTACACAACCTAACAAACTAACTGCAAACATTGTCCACAAGCTACATCAGACATATAATTTAATCAATGTTCTCATTTTCAAAACAGAAAAAAATCAATAGGGGTAATAGTGCACCTATTGCAAAGGAGATGAAATAAATATTGTCAACATCAGCTTTTGTGTAAAAACTGATTTCTAGAAGCAGAAAAAATTATCTCAACTGCAAGTGACAAATATACCGTAAACTCTTGGAAAAAATAAATCTGCTATAAAGTCCCTTTAAAATAAGGCCTATAATTTGTTCCTAGCTAGAACTGACAGCTGCCACAAGTAGGAAGAGTAGAGGCAGTAGAAGAAAAGTTGGGGAAGGAGAGTGAAGGTGTTCTACATCATGGTTTACCTCCTCTCGACCAAACTGGGTGCACTACTTAACATGGAATCCCTGCCTGTGTTGAATTCTATAAAGCCAGTCATGGGATACTGATATAATTATGCATCAGTTGGGAGTTCTTGCCAGCTACAGAGATGAAATGTAGGCAATTCAGTGACATTTGTGAGGAAAGAGGAGAAAACTGTCCAACTTTTAGACTATCCAAATTCCTGCTTCCCCTTCAGTGGCATACTTTGATCTGCATCAGCCTTGCCTTCCCCAACCTGGTGGTTTCCCTTTGTTAAGAAATCTCCCTTATTCCTAGTTGGTCAAGGTGATGGGAGTTATAGTCTATTGTAGTCTAACAAAGATGGAGAAGCCCAATGTGGGGAAAGCAGGTCTGTAAGTATAGGTAGTCCCAAAATTGATTGATTCCAGAATTTAGGTTGCTAAGTGTGAAATTAGTTTAGTGAATTTTGCTCCATTTTACAACTTTTCTTGCCACACTTGTTAACTGAATCACAGCAGTTGTTGAATTGTGATTGTTAAACATGATTGTTAAGTGAATCTGGCTTCCATGTTGTCTTTGCTTGTCAGAAGACCGCAAAAGATGATCACATGACCCAAAACACTGCAACCATCATAAATATGGTTTTCAAGCATCCAATTGTAAATCACTTGACCATGGGGATACTGCAATGGTCATAAGCCAGGGGTGAAATTCAACCACCTCGGCCCACCTCGGGAGAGACGGTAGGGACGGTTTGAATCAGTAAAAAAAAAATCACCCCTGGTTGCTCCTCGTTGCTCTTACTATTATACCAAGCCATGCCCACAGAGCTGGTAGGGAAAAAAATTGAATTTCATCCCTGTCATAAGTATGAAAAATTGGCCATAAGTTACTTTTTTCTGTGCTGTTTAACTACAAATGGTCACTAAACGAACCATTGTAAGTGGAGGACTACCTGTATTGATTTCTTGGGGTTTTCCAGAAAAGAAAAACAACCCTTCAATCACTTCTGTTTTTCTTTTAGGTACTTTCACAAGCATCCCTGGGAGCTCCTTTCTCCAGGGCACAATCCGATCTAATTCCGAAGGTCGCACCACACTTTTTCCTCAACACGCAGTTGTTTTAGATGCTGCGATACAAAAGCTCACTCGCTCGGTGGGTGATGGGCCGGTATCTAAATTTGATATATAAATAATAAAAAAGACCATGTAAAGGAATCCCACACACACACACCCTCGTTTTTGGAAAAGAGCGCGTCTGAAGAGCCTGAATGCACCACCCCTGTAAGCCGTGTCGCCTTTCCCGAGCCGCGTAACTCCTTCCCAAGTGACGTTGCCCGAATGGGGGCCGCTCGCTGACTGGCCCACCTGGAGGCCAAAGGCGGCGTCGCAGGAGCGGCTGGCACGAGGGAGATAAAAGGGCGTCGCGGGGCTCTGCTGGGCGCAAGCTTCTCACCCCGGGAAGAATCATACTCCTCCTCCTCCTGCCGCCGCCGCCGGTCTGCACCCCTTTTGACACCGAGACGGGTATTCGCCTCTCTGCAACGCCTCCATCCAGTTAAGCAGACTAAAGTCATGTTGCACTGGGGATACGAGGAAGACAACGGTGAGGAGGAGAGCTGGTGGCTCTCTGGGGGAATTAGGTGCAGGAGGTGGGCTGTCGGGAGACTGTGCCAAGGGCCAGGAGTGGCTCTGCTCCTGCTGGAGGTGTTGCTACGGTCACCACCCTGACCACCCTCTTCACATGCATACTTTTGTTAGGATGGGAGAAGGTAGACGGGCTTCCTTCCTAGGCCGTTGTGCCTTCGAGCCACTTCCACTAGACGTGCGACCTCTCCCTCTTACATTTCACGCGTTTCCTTGGGAGCACGCCTGTTTTCCAATGGGACGGGGTTTTCTTCCAAAAAACCGCGGAAGGAACTTTCTTTCTTTCTTTCTTTCTTTCTTTCTTTCTTTCTTTCTTTCTTTCTTTCTTTCTTTCTTTCTTTCCTCCCTTTCTCTCTCTCTCCCTTTCTCTCCCTCTTTCTCTCCCTCCCTCCCTCCCTCTCTTTCTCTGTCTCTCTGCCTCTTTCTCCCTCCCTCTATTATAGTCCTTTGGAAGCCAAATTTCTAAAAGTTTTGTAGAGGTATAGGTGCATTACTTTTTTGTGAGTTAGAGTACATTTTCTCTGAGTCTGGGTATCTTTAGTGATTAAATGAAATTTCTTCATCATGATGAATAGAATATAATAGACTTGGAAGGGTCCTGGGACGGCTTCTAGTCCAACCCTCTGCTCGAGCAGGAGATTAACAGAGCAAATTTGAAGCTGCAAAGTGAGAACAAAATGTAAAAATGTATTTTAAAAGGATATTGCACAACAAATTATTTTTCATACTCAATTATCTAATTCTTTTCTATTTAGCCATAATTTTGGAGGAAAAAATAATGTTCACCAGTGATCTCCAGAGATCTGTGGAGAGAATAAATCACAAGTTATCTTAAATTGTTCCAGTGTTATAGAAAGATCTTGATTTTTAAAATTGCCCCTATTTTATTGTTCCTAATAAAAGAAAGAAACAGCATCATATTATTCTCATGAGTGGTTTGGAACATTTCAGATATGCTAAGTGAGATAAGGCAGTTTATTGTTCTCTCATATTTTGATTCTTTTTTGCTATATGTAATGTTAAGAATAAATATTCTTCATTAGAGAGTTGTATTAATTATCTTTGGATAAAATCTCAAGGCTCATGGTTTGCACTTCTATGTTTCTCTATACTCTCTGAACCTACTACACTAAAATTAATATCAGGGCAGGGGAAGTATTAGACTGAGTTCACAGAGATACTTAAAAATTCATTTTAGTTCGGCTCCAGTTCTTAAATGTCACATGTGAATTCTGCTCATGTTGGATTTCAAAAGAGAAATGCATATTATCATCAGTGTTGCTTTTTAGTTACTTCTATGTTATAAGCAAAGCAAATAAAAACATGGTGCAGTTGGAGCTGTTGAAACCTGAAAGTGATTTTGAACAATATGGAAGGAATAAATGAAACAGTTATTAAATATTGTTAAATATTCTGATATTAATGTATTGTTATCACCCATAAATGCTCCTTCTGTAAAGACCTCTTTGATTTTTCCAATGCAAATAAATGTTTTTGGAGGGGTTCTAACTTTCTGGGTGTTTTTGTTGATGAGTTTAGAACAACTCTGATTTTCTATACTCTTTTGCTGCCTGTGATAGACAGGATTTAGTAACAGATTTAGGAAGACTTTTTTAAATGTTCCATGTCTTACTGGATGTGTACACACCACAGTAGTACAGATAATGAAAGACTTCAGTTTGGGATGCTGTTGTCTAATCTCAATGATACAGCAGGCTGGATGACGTCTGTTTAGGAAGCAAAATGTTAAAGATAGTCCTCCAGAACCTTGTGTACCTGCTTCATAAGGAAAAACTTCAAAAAGTTATTAGAAGGCTGGGTATTCTATTATTTCTATTATTAGCCCATATAAATAATCACTAGTATAAATTTTTCCATTCATAACTTATTCCTGTGAATAAGTTATTTTTATATAATCATTGTAATTAATTGGTTAGATTAATAACTTCATGCTTTCATTGAATTAAAAAGTTTGTGATAAACCATTCCACAAAAGGCTATTATCACTTTTAATAAACACAATGGAAATTACTCTTGAATAAAATCTGTATAGGATTACCCTCTAAATCAGCATGCTGGCATTTAAGATTTAGTAAATTTAAAGTATTTGGTGAGCAGAGGTTGTCTATTCCTTATTTGTATACCTATGCAAGCATAAAATTACTTAAGCAATCAGCTCAGTAAGGTTTTGTGTCTTTTTTGATACTGAATGATAAATATTAAATGATATAAATGATCTTTGAGTATTGAAAAATGATATAGCTGACTCATTTTGCCTACATGGTATGAAACAGTGCAAAAGATAATCTTAGTGGGACAGAAGTATGTTTGACGTAAAACAGGTGGTGTGTCCAAGAAGTGATAAAGAATGTGATAATGTATTTTTTTTTCTCCAGAATTAGAAGCACAGAAGGTTGAGATATTATTTTACTAGACTAAAGGACTTTAGGCAAGCCAATAATCTCTCCATCTCATCTATCTTACTAAGCTCTTGGTGAAGAATTTTCAACAATTTTAGCATGATATTGCTCATAGACTCAGACCAGAGTAATATAAAATGCTAAGCATGAATTGGGTTTTCTGTGTTAAGAAATACAAAACATAGGTTTGAGGAGTTCATACTTTCTTCCCTATCAATACTTGACAAACCAAACAGAATCCCTTGTGATTAAAATTCTATGAAGGAATCTTGTGTTTAAATAGAAATCTTGCTTTGAACACTTAACATAGTAGATTAATTAAAACTGATTTTCAGACATTTCCTTAAAATGTTACAAGCTATTTCAAGGAAATAAAGAAAATATGTAGGACAAGTGTACATTTTTTTTCTTGGTTTGAGAATTGGATTACACTCTGTACAGCATTTCAAGAACTTAACTCCAAAGTAGGCAGGACCAGATTCTATTTGGCGCACACGGTGTTAGGATTTTTAAGTGCTGAAATCCATTCCCTAATCAGTCATTTTATCTCTTAATAATGAAAAGAGAGAAAGGTCCAAAAATTTTGGTACCACCCCCAAGGGTATAATGGCAAGCTGATTTTGCATTCCTGCTGAAGGAGATTTAAACTTAAACCAAATTCCAAGTTTGTGTGACTTATTGGTGTTGCATTAAAATCAGGATAAGGCAGAGGAAGAAAGTATATATGGGAAGACGGAGGTAATTATACAGATGCAGGTCACAGTACATGTAAAATAGGTTACCAATGTCCTATCAACTAACAACTGTAATGTAAATCTCACCAAATTCCAAGTTTGGCTAGAAGCATTTCTGACGACAACAGAAATAACAGAAGCAGAATTTCCCAATGCAGAATTCTTCCCCAAATGAAAAAGAATAACACACTATTCTATGACCTATTGCTCTTCATTTGTGTTGAGATTACACTTCCTAGAATTCCCATTAATGCCAATGAGCCTGGGTGGGATACTTCAGAGTAAGCAAGGCTGCCACTCACTTGGTATATTTTTGAGTAACATTTCATATTATGGTTAGTGTGTAAAGCTAATTTAAATGCCAGTTACTCAAAATATTGTTACGATCAATAGCTGACCAATACTTTGCACCTATTGTGTAACTGACAGCTATCTCTTTTCCCAAGGATTGTACAACTATTGTTTTATAATGCTGTTTTGTTTATCATAACGTCAAATGCCTAACATTTTTACTACCTTATAATTCTTTCATTTCTTTTGAAGAAAGCTGGGACAATTAAACTAGGATAACAAGTATATGCAGATAATATGCTGAGTATTTTGGTTTTATTTTCTGTTCTGCCCTAGACTGGTATTTGCGAAGTTTGGTACTTCTAAAATTTAACTTCTAGTTTGTATAAACTTCTATGTTTATAATTCATAATTCTGCTTTTGCACATATGATAATGACTGATAGACCAAGGCCTGGTTGTTTTGGAATAAGTGACTCAGGTATTTTTGGGACCAAATGTGGTCGATACAAGTTCTAATGGCAAAGTTAGGAAATCACCTTCTACATTTGAAAAATGTATATAAACTGTCTGTACTAGTGAGAATGCAATTTTTAAACTGTTGTTAACATTTCCCATATATACTTCTGAGTGATATACTGTGGTCTATCACCACAATTCTATCTTGCTGTATTGCATTTTAGTTCTTTTGTGATGATGATGTATTCTCTTTTCAAAGTGACCATACTATGTCAAATTTGGAGATCAGTATGTGGGCTTCCTAACTAGGCAGAGCATCTTCTTCAACCTTATTTGAAACTTCAATGAACCATTATTAATCTCCGTCTCTGAATAAAGCACTTTCTATGTTACTGAACCAAAGTAAAGCATTATAGTTGTGTGAATGACCGATTAAATCATCTGATGGGTAAATGTTCTCTGAATCTATTGCATGTGTGTTAATTTCAGGTGTTTGCTGCATTCCTAATGACCAGAATGCCTGGAAGTAGGCAGAAAATGAACAACTCTAGTGTTCTAACCTGCATCCTTGGGTATTCAATTCATTAGAATTAAGATATTTGTGTAGAGATGATTGGGTGGTATACATTCCATCCTTTTAAATCCAACCATTTTTAAATTATTTTGTGTTTTGTTTTTGTTTTTAAGAAAAATAAGAAAATCCAGGTAGGTTCTTGTGCATTTTCTTACATGACAATTTATTTGTTTGTCTGACTGCACCAAATGATGTTCTGTAAACAACGTTTTTTTTACTGTAATGTATTCTAGGACCTACTCACTGGAGGGAAATTTTCCCCATTGCTGATGGAGACCGGCAATCTCCCATTGATATTCACACTGAAGAGACTAAATACGACCCCAACCTGCTTCCTCTCAGTCCCAGATATGATCCTTCCTCTGCTAAAGTCATACTCAATAATGGACACTCCACCAGTGTGGAATTTGATGACACTGAGAATAAATCAGGTTTGTTTTCTAGCAAACCTAGGTCTGAATTAATGCTCTATAACTAATTGTATCTAAATCATAAGGCAGCTATTCTCCAGAGAAGATCCTTTCACCTTATCACTTGAGGGAGTTTCAGTTAATTGTAATTGTCTAAATATGTTTGCATTCAAATGATCTGTCCACATCTTTCTTGAGTATGATTTTATCTGATTGGTTACAGAAAGTTGGAAAGCTTCCTAAAATCCCTATTCAAAGTGGGCTAAATTCCTTTCTCAAACACTGCTTTCTCTCATTTTTGGCATAGCTAGTTTTATGTTGCTCTCATTTCATGGGAACAGTTCACATTTCCTTTGTAGTCACAAGAGTTTTTTGCTTGCCTTCTTTTTCCTCTGTAAATAGCAATTTTTAGGATAGTTGTTTAGAACAACAACAAAAAAAAAGCATACAAGGGAGATGCCAGCCCTCTAGTGCTAAGCTGGAACACCCAGCAGTTATTTAACATTGAGAGATCCAGTCAGTGTTTTTTACATCACTTTTGTGTTGGCCTTCAAATAGTCTGAAAATATGCTTAAACATTAAAAGTTTCCCACTCTCTGCTTAACACTAAGAATTATCGGTATTTTTTACAGTACTAAGTGGGGGTCCACTCACTGGAAATTATAGGCTGCGACAAATCCACTTCCATTGGGGAGCCCAAGATGACATTGGTTCTGAACATGCCGTGGATGGAGCAAAATTCCCAGCAGAGGTAAAGTACTCCTCTGATCCGTTCTGAAGCAACAGGATTTATTTTTGAAGCATAATTAAAGCTGTCCTTTCTGAGATGACTGGTGTGATTTCAGCAGTAAAAATTATTATTAATTTTCAGTGGTCAGTTTTACTATAGTTGATCAAGTTCAGGCAGGAAAATGTAATGCTATATGATGAATTCTACTACTTAGTTGGAAAATTATTTGTTCCTAATGTGTAAATTTTGGAATTTAAAACTAGCCTGGCTGAGAAATTTTTACTGTATCTTGTATATTGATCATATCTTTACTATCCTTGGTAGTAAATTCCATGGATTTCCATGGGAATTACTCCCAATTACATCTGCTTAGAATTGCACATCAGTGGGATTTTCTTTAATTAAAACTTGTGTTTTTGATTATTTCTGGTTGCTGTGGAAAGTGTTTTTGATGTGTTCTCAGTAACATTTCCATATTGTCTTTCATTTATGTCTATTGCATAATATGTTTTTAGCTATTATGCTACCAGTTCATCTGTAGCCCATTGTAGATTTCTTTTCTTGGCTTGCCACATATCTGTGGACACTAAAAATTTTAAAGGAATTAACTTTTGGCAAACAGGTGAACAAACATGGGCAGTTACCCAATATTCTGACTCTCTCAGACACAACTGCTATGGATGCAAATCTTCCTTTAAAATATTCCAATGTTCACCATCTAGTGACATGGTAAAACTGTTGTCTAAAACATGGAGGCCCTGGAATTAATCAGCTCTTTGGGTTCATATTGGTGAACATAAGAATAAATAAAACAAATCTATATTGCATATTATTTTCTTTGGGGATTACTATTGTAAAACTTTCTTGTTCACTGAAAATATAACTAGCATTCTAAAGATGAAAAGAGGCTCTAAAATAATAGGGCTTGACTCAGTCTTTTGCATTTAAATTCCAATATTTCCATTAGGTATAATAGTTTTCTGATTTCCTCCTTTTCACTTCACTTCTCAGCACACGGGAAGTATGTACTGATCTCAAATGAAGATCAATTAAGCATCTAAGAATGCCTAACCTGTAGTTACTAAGCTTTCCCTTTTATATTTTTCACAGTATTTGCGTCAGAGAGAGTAAAACTCTTAGTAAAACAGACTAAAATGCTTTCTGTTGATGTTTAAAAAAACCAAGGGAAACAACACTATTTCCCTGTTGGCTGATTTATTGGTGTACTGGATGGACTTGAGACCATGCTGGGTGGAAATGAAGCGAGATATATCTGTGTGGAACCAAATTCAAACACTGTAAATGTTCTGTTTTTATAATTCTGTAACAGTTCTCTCAGATAAAAAGTATAGTCTAGTTACAATCTGTGCCAATTTATTTTAATGTGTTTTCCATGTTGAAATGGAATTGCAAAAATGCTAAATAGAAAAGCCATAATAAATACATTAACATTTCCAATTATTGCTTTTCTCAACATGAAGTCCTCAAAAAGTATAAATTGCTTCTAGTTAACTAACATTAAGAGGGACACTTTTCTGTGATGTTTTTTTAATATATATATTTCTGAAATTGAATAGTAGCTTGAAATAGAAGTACATGTTTGTCAGTACTGTAATGCAAGAACTGAAGATTCACAGAAATAATTGCCTTGATAAAATAAAGGAAGGTAGAAAAATGCCTAAAATTAATGGGGGGGAAATCAGTTGGGGGAAATGACATTTGCAGTGTTTAAAGACTTATGTTTTTCACAGGAACCAGGTGAGATGGAATGTAACGAATTAATAAGAGGTGCTTAGAAAACAGATATATAGCTGGAAAGAAATAAGTTCCATCTAAGAAACCAAATGGAAGGAGAAAATATTTAAGAATGTTTAGTCAGTTTAAAAAGTTTTCCCTCTGCTGATTATCAAGAACCCACTAGAAACCCTACTGATTTTGGGGTGGGAAAAGACCCTAGATTTGAGAGAGTGTTAGGCTGATTATATGGTTGGAGACATGCCCAAAAGATCAGTGAATAGATGTACGGTGTTGAGCCCCAGGAAGAAAAGGCTCTTTGACTCAAGAACGCACCTCTGCCAAATTGGCACATGCTGGAAGAAAGAGCTGCTCTGCAGACAGAAGACAACACTGTTCCTCTGGCAGATGATCTCTGTGGATCCAAAGTCCTATTAATCTGAGGCAGCCTATCTCCTGGGCCCAGGTGTTTCCAACAGGCTGCGATACAGGACTGCTGAAGATGATGCATAAAAGAAACAGGCCTTAACAAGCTGTGGTTCAAGAGCGGTGGTAAGACAAGATACAGTACATACATCCTTTAAAAGAGAAGTCACGGGCCATTGGGATGGGCCTCCCCCACAGTGTTTCAGGATTTTCTCGTGTCCTTCCTTGTTTGTTATTTTTCATTAATCTACAATAAAAGCCCTTCCTGTTGAAAGCATTGGTTTCCTTTTTGTAGAATGTTCACAGTATATTGTCCAGCTTTTTAAAGTGTGTGTGTTGACACCTTAAGAGTCCAGATTAAGTGAAACTGAGCCATTAGAACTTCTAGATTTTATTCATAATAATACTTCGCACCTACAAAGCAGCTCTCCTGTAAGGATGTTAAAGCTCTTGATCCAGTGTGTGTGAATCTGAGGATTTGTGAAAGGAAAATGAGGGTGGGAACACAGCTGGTGGGAGGGACTGGCAATGGGGATCTGCCACAGACTCTTTATTATTTTTATAAACATGCCCCAAACTAGGACTGGCTAGAATGGATCTTCAGAGCTTGGACCAACGCGTGTGGAGCTTCCAAAGGACTACATGCTTCAAGATGGCTTTTGGCTACTTGTAAAAAAAATGACTTAGCTCCCAATAATCCATCATGTGTTACAGACTCCTGGCTAACTTCATAAAGTGATGATTAATTGTACTTGTTTTCTTCCTTTTCAGCTTCATGTGGTGCATTGGAATGCAGATAAATACCCTAGCTTCGTTGAAGCTGCTCAGCAACCTGATGGATTAGCAGTCATGGCTGTTTTCTTAAAAGTAAGGAAATAAAATAACATTCTTTCATTTCAAATGTAGGAAGCAAAAGATCAAACTATTGTTTAGCACAGGGGTGTCAAACTCAATTTCATTGAGGGATGCATCAGGCCTGTGGTTGACCTTGGGGGGGTGGGGTCAGAGGGGTGTGGCTGACTTGGTGGGCATGGCCAAATGGGTGGGCATGGCCATTTTGATGCCACTCCCCAAACTGCTGACATGTTTCTTCTTTGCATTGGGTAGACCGGGCCGAGCCACACTGACTCGATGTTTCTTTTTCACACTGGGTAGACCAGGTCAAAGCCATGCTGGCCCGATGTTTCCTCTTCACATTGAGTAGACCAGGCCGAAGTGATGTGGGCCGGCCCCTTACATTTTCCAGGATGGCCCTGTGGGCCCATTCTGACCACATTGCGGGCCGGATCTGGCCCGTGGGCCTTGTGTTTGACACCTCTAGTTTAGCACATAATTTTGTCTGACAGAGCGAGGAACACTTTAGTGGTTTGAAAAGTGGTTCGAAGCTAGGCATAATGGCTTCTAGGGGTATAAGTTTCACCAATTTGGGAGCTGGAATCAATTATAGACCCTCCAGTTCAAGAATTCTGTCATCCCAAGTGGATGGGTAATTTTTTTCTGGTTTTATTTGGGGAAGATGGAATTTTCCCCTTTTAGAAAAAAACAAGCCTATTTAAACCTATTTTACATTTACTCTACTTTTTTTTACTACTTTCTGTCTCCAAATGTTGAGAGATTAAAATTTGGCAATGGATCACCTTGAAGATTTGAAACTCCCATCCCCATATATATGTATTCATATTTGAATTTTTTTTCTTATGACAAATACCCTGAAGAATCTGTGATGTTTTAGTTTTAGTACATACAAATATATGAAATATTACATGGAGAGTAAATCTATTTTTTCCAAACTTCTAATGAAGAAAAACTTCTCAGATCCAGTTTGCTTTCGGGAAATGTGCACCCTCGTTCACCTCATTATTCCAGAAGAGCCTTTATGAAGATGTCAAGAAAAAAATATCTCCAGATTTCTACCATACAATTTATGCAAGTCTATTCAAAAGTACATCTTCCTGGAATTAGCAAAGTTTATATCAGATAGTGTGAGGAGGATTGCATATTCATAATTTGACTTCAATAATAGGATCATAATTATAGAATAGCTTTCCATAAAGCCTCTCATTTTCTTAGGTATTTTGACATTTTGAACATTGGAATTTCCTGTGGTTATTTTTTAAAATACATTTCTTTAATTCCATATATTTCTGCTTTCTTTTTAAACTTTCCAAATAACCACTTTGCTGACAAAAATTGATGATAAAAACCAGTAAATAAAGTTTAAAATCAATAAAACTTCATTTTCTCTCAGCCAAAGGAAACAATCTTACATTTCTATTTACAGATGGGTGAATGCAATTCACAACTGAAAAAAATCACAGACCAACTGGATACCATTAAAGTGAAGGTAAGGCAGATCAGGTCCTACTTCTGTATATTCTTATTGGGATTGCAACAGAAGCTTTAACATTAAAAAACTGCTTCAGATAATAGATAGCAGACCTGTCTATACCTTTTGTTGATTCACAGCATTATGATTCCTCTGCTGGTAATGTGGAAGACATAGAATCTCTATAAGTATAGATGATGAATCAAAATACTAAATGTGCATGTTCTCTTTCCCGTTTCCCTCAGCTTCTTTAATAGAATACTGTGTAACAATTTCTAGGGTTCTCCATACAAATGAAGTGCTTTAAACCTCTCACAAACACACTGTCTCTTGCCATTTACAGGTAGTCCTTGTTTAGCGGCCACAGTTGGGACTGGCAACTCTATTATTAAACAAAGTGAAACTGAAACTGTGGTCATGATCTTACTTCAGCTTTCCACTGCTTAATAGACCTGCGAAGATTGTAAATGCTGTGATAAATCTTAAAATGGTTACTTTTCCATCATTGTCATTAACGGCAAGCAGTTGCTGTTCAAGGCAGTCCTAAATGAGGACTACCTTTAGCAGCATTAAAAGCTACCAGATTTTGGCAGCAAAACATGCAAAAAAGTGGAAGTAAAGAGGATACAGAAAATGCTAGTTCTGCCCTGTAGGTATTGTCCATCTATTTGCAGCCCAGATCTGGTAGTCCTACAAACATTAGAGTTTGAGAAAGGACAACCAGTGCTTGAGAATGATATGGGGCTATATAAGAACAACCATAGGATGAATCTAAATATCTCTATGCTGAAGGAGGCAAAACTTGGAGAAAGAAAGGTATCTTTTGGAAGCAGGAAGCCTGTCATTGAAGGAAGAATCAACAGTGGAAGTTATATGCCACACAATGAGGATGAAGAGGGCATTTGCTAATTCCTTCTATCCTTCTTTCCTTCAGGGTAACCAGCACAGGTTCACCAATTTTGATCCTTCCTGTCTTCTCCCTCATTCACTGGACTACTGGACATACCTTGGGTCTCTCACAGTCCCTCCCCTTCTTGAGAGTGTCATTTGGATCGTCCTTAGGGAGCCTATAAGTGTTTGCTCTGAACAGGTATGTTTACTTTCCCATCTGAAATCTCTTTTTTAAAGGAGTTCTCATGAATGTTTGCCATTTATTAGATTCTAATATCAGGAGTCTACATGGATCACTTATTAAAATCTAACTATATTAACCGCTCAGGCAATAGAGAAAAATCTATCTATGTGACTTATAAGAGTTGGCATTGACACATTTAATCAATCAATATTAACCATTAAGGTACAAGTATAATTAAGAGCTCCTGTATTCTATTTTGGTTCATTTTATTTAGGTGGCTTGTCAAAATTGTGACATAGTAAATGTGTGCTTGGGGCTTGTACATATTTAAAGTGCTAAAATGTTACGGTACAAATTAAATACATTCAGCTTATATTTACAAATACTATGTAGGCACTGTTTCATAATAGGTCATCATTCATCATTCACTCTGTGTTTGTTATTGTTCAGTTGTTATGTCTTTGTGGGGCTCAATTAGAGCTAATTGCTCATAAAAAAGGACAGGTTTATGCTAATATGTGTCACCAGGAAGAAAATTATGTGCATGTAGAGTACATTTTTGGCATTAATTCTGAATTTTGTACCTTTTTCATCCACAGCTGGCCAAATTTCGCAACCTCCTGTGCACTGGTGAAGGAGAGCATGCCTATTGCATACTGAGAAACTTCAGACCACCACAGCCTTTAAGGGGGCGGGAAGTAAGAAGAAATTAAAGGAAGGATAATTTGCTATACTAGTTGACACTGTTATGGATGCAAAACCCATTTAAAATATTGCGCATATATATCTATAAAATTGTAGGAACTTTGATGGAAAAATTTGTAAATAGAATAGAATAGAATAGAATAGAGTAGAGTAGAGTAGAGTAGAGTAGAGTAGAGAGAATAGAATAGAATAGAATAGAATAGAATAGAATAGAATAGAATAGAATAGAATAGAATAGAACAGAATAGCCATATAACAATTCTTGACAATTACAATATACAATCATGCCCTTACAATATCAATCCCAAATAAAAACTTATGGGTTTGTATAAAATAACAGTAAATGCAAAGTATGTGTAAGTAGTGAGATGATAAGAAGACATGGAAAAGGAATTAAAATACTTATATCCAATCAGGATAAAAAGTTTATTTTAGTGATACAATATTTTTGTTCAATTATTTGATTCATCTATTTAAATAATAGTTTCCTTGCAGTTTGACTATGTTAGAGAGACAAGACACTCCCTTTTTATTAAGAGTATACTTAATAATTTAAGATGTAATTGGATTGCAATACGATATAATCAATCAGATTTATTCTGAGTTGTAGTTAATATTAATATTACATTTTGTGGTCTGAATGAACTTCGTGCTGTTATTTGATTGTAGAGTAGCATGTTAAGTGTGAGTGAAGAGGATTCAGTAGAAATAATTTAGGGTTTGTGAATGAAATGACCTAATTAGGCAGAAGATTAAATGATTTAATCTTCCACTCTGGGATTCTATCAATTTATCTTCAAAACATCCTAGGAATTGTTCCTTTGTAAAGAAACTCAATAGGAAATTATTCAACTAATTAGACTAGAAAACAAGAATAGCAAGACACTTAAAAAATTCAAACAACTGAAAATATAATGATGGCAACATGTTTCTTTGCAAAATATTTTTATCTGTGATACAAGAGGTTTTGCCTCCATACAGAAGTGAAGTTTGGATTGAAATGTGCTTGTTGAATTATATAACCTGTATGCTAATTGGTGGGTATTTTTATGTAAGGCTATGAATGATGGTTTGGAGATGGCATTGTTTCATATTTTAAAAAAACTATGGATCTTAATATTTTCATGCTATTTACATAATTTAATAAAAGCATTGTTAAGGAGTCAACAGTAATTTTGAATCAAGGCAAGAAGGAGTAAATAAACAGCATCGGTCTCTGCTCTTATGTTAGATAGTTTTTAAAAAAAAGTTTACTGACAATAAATTAAGTTTTCTTCTAACAGTGTGTTTAACAATTATTTTAAATAATAGCTAATCGTTTTAATGTTCAAATTGCTCTTAATTTAGCAATTGTATAAAATATGTGAAACTAGATCCAATCTGAAATTATAATGGGATTAAATATAATTATACAATTAAGAACAAGATTAATTGAACCACAGTTAGCATTTTATTTTAGTTACATTTTCCTGCAAAGTTCCCATAGAATGTAATGGAGATTACTTTAGCATAGAGATCTATAAATATAGTTAAGCTTGATTTGAGGCTCCTCCTCAAATACATGTTTATTTAGTTTTCAACTTAGAGTACAATCAGTGGGCCAACCAACAAACCCAAAAAAGGATTAGATATAACTCTCAAAAATATACTGTAGTCTATTCATGGGGCCTCCATTAAGCTACATCAGGAAAAATGCTGCCTGTGGTTCAGTTAATCTTTTCTGAGGCCAAGAAGATGTAGAAAAACATGTCTCTCAGGCCGTTCCATTGTTTTAAGGCAGGGGGTGTCAAACTCACATTGACACGGTGGTGTCACGTGACATATTGGGACTTTTTTCCCCCTTCACTAAACCGGGCATGAGCATGGCCAGCGCGTTATGCATCTGGCCCATGGGGCGGGAGTTTGACAATCCTGTTTTAAGGAGAATTAAAAATAGAGAAACAGATGGAATCAGGGAAACATGCATGATACCTACACTGTGTCTATATGTGTGTGTGGCAGTGTATCATTGTGTGTTTTCCAGCCTAGCTTGGGAAGAAAAAAGCAAGTAGAAATTATAACTTTCAATACAAGCCCAGCTTCCCTACAAGGATGTCCACAGAATATGGTCCCCAAACTCAAACTGCCATAAAAAATACTTGATGCTTTGATCACACCATGTGGTTGCCACCTTGGCTGCAAACCTCCCTAATGACCCAGTTAAATATTGTTGGTGCTTGATACTGAGACTTTGGAATAGGTCAGGACTAGCTGGTTAAACAACACCATGCAAACAATAATAACTGTTGTTCAGGATAATGATATTAAACCTGTACTGTTTAATTACTAGAACTATCATTTAAAGCCAAATATCGACTAGGGTATTGTATAATTAAAATGAACATTCATTGATATTGATAAATTCATATTTTCATATACATTTTGTCCAAGCCCTATTCCTTATGCCAGAATTTTTATATTATTTTCCAATCTTCTATGCAGCATAAGTTATTTAGGATAGCAAGATGGGATTTTCACAATCATTACTCTAAAATTTAACAGTTCAAAATAAAGAATTGATAGACCGTACTTTATGGAGACAGAAATTTCTTTTTAGCTTTTCTGACCAGTAGGTGTCATTATAAGCAAAGTAATGTTAAGATGGGATCTGAAACCATTAAAATGATTTTTAGAGGATAAAAGAACTACAAATTTGGAATAAATAAAAACAAATGATTGAAATGTGGCAAATAACGAAATATGCCCATAACACAAATTGTGCCAGAATAAGAGGGAAACATTACTTTAAAACTAGAAGCTCTGTAAAAGACTAAACTGCCTCAGTTGTGGGTTGGGAATGAGAAGAAGCTGGAAGAATGAATCAATCTTTTTGCTAGCCCCTAATCAAGGAAGTGCCATTCTGCAGTAAGTCACAACAAAAACAATTGAGGCAAGATACAAACCAGCAGGAACATCTGCTGGGAAGGATGTCAGTGATATCTACCATAACATTGGAATCAGAGGTGGTATTCAGCAGGTTCTGACCAGTTCTGGAGAACCAGTAGCGGAAATTTTAAGTAGTTCAGAGAACTGGTAGTGGACAAATAGCACCTCTGACTGGCCCTACCCCCTTCTATTCTCTGCCTACCGAGTCTCAGCTGATCGACTGGGTCTTCTTTTGTTGCCCTGCACAGAAGAACACAGCTGAAAAGCAGGTTAGTGGGGTGGGGAGAGAATGGGGATTTTACAGTATCCTTTCCCTGGAATGCGGTGGGAATGGAGATTTTGCAGATTCTGCCATGCACACCAAGCCACGCACACCAAGCTACGCCCACAGAACCGGTAGTAAAAAAAAAATTGATCTCACCACTGACTGAGATGTGTGCAACTAGATGCTTGAAACTTCACCACTTTTTATATCTGCCATTGACTTCTGTGGATAGTCCTATATGGAAAGTCTAGTTTTTGCTAATTCAAGGATGGGTCTAGCATTTAAAGTCAGTACTGGGAAAATTTTATTGTAAAGTTGGGTTTTATTGCACAATGATTATTTAGCCTGAGCACTCATTAGATAGAAATCTGGAACTGAATTATTACATAATTGATTAAATCATCCAAAATCATCCATAATCTTTTAGGATTTGGTTAAGTAATGATAAACATGATTTGGCTTTGGATAGCTGTGATCTAAGAAACATGATAACTACTGAAACCATTTTAAATAGATTTGATCAATAATTTGTCCACTAATTTTATGGCTTGAAATTTTTAACAACTGAGTATATCAACAGTGAATATCAGTGATGAGAATATGTCACAAAAAAAGTCAATCTTGGCTCAGTGTCTAAAACAGTGATTGAAAATAGCCAGTTTCACCGTTCATTATGAAGTTTGCTCAGGTTGGGAAAGTACCACTGTCAATTTGACTGCAGGCTGCAAGATGAAAGGATACTTTGGATGTATACTGGACTGAATCTTCTCCAAAATTTCCTGGAAATTTTCTTCCTGCAGGAAGGATGCTTCTGTTTTCCTATATCATTCTCACACAACATTTCACTAGTATTTGATGCCTTTTGGTGGTATTTTTGAGCATTAGCATTTGAAGTTGTTGTGGACACTTTAGCTTTTTCTTCTACACTCTGATTCCTTTCCATTCTGGATAAGTGTCAAGGGACAGCTTTAAAGGGAAGTGAAAAAGCCCAGAGGAAAAAAATCTTATGATTTAATTGAAGCCCAGGAATCCGGTCAGGCCCTAGACCAATAGAATATGATTATACAATTTAAAAAAGAACTTTGTTCATTAACCACTTCATAACTCAAGATGTGCAAAAACTGCCTATCAACATTTTTTTCTCCTTTGAAAGAAATATATTGAAGACATTTTATCACCCCATCAAATGAACTGGGAAGAGAGAAGACATTTTTGGCACAATGTTCATTTTGATGCTGTCTCTGAAAGTTTCAAATATGATGGGTTGAAAACTCACTCATTTGCAATGAAATATTAGAAAGACAGCTTTGGATGTGCTGACAAGCTAAAGACAACATGCAACCAAGTCCTCCCATTGCAATTTTAATTCCTACATTGCCAAATTCTTTACCTACAACTTCTACTATAATGGTCCCCCTAGATCAGGGCTGTTAAACTCGTGGCCGCAGCCCAGATGCATTACGTGCTGGCCAAGCCCATGCCTGGTTTATCAAAGAAGAGAAAAGTCACAATATGTCACGTGATGCCGCTATGAAGACACGAATTTTACACGCTTCCCTAGAATATCATTGTTCCCCTTCAAAAAGAATCAAGCAGGACTTATTGAATAAAAAATCAGTCCAGCATAAGCAGTCTCAATTCTTAGGGGATCTTGACACTCTCTGAACTTGGTTGTTTTCTTGCAGAAGTTTCATTACCTAAGCTAGGTAACATCATCAATCCTAATAAGGAGTGGCGTTTTGCTCTCATTTTATATTCTAGTGCAGGGGTGTCAAACACAAGGCCCAGGGGCCAGATCCGGCCTGCGGTGTGGTTGAATTTGGCCCATGGAGCTGGCCCAATGTGAAGATGAAAGATTGGTCCAGTCTACCCAGTGCGAAGAACTCAGGACAGCATATCTTCCCGATCTACCCAGTGCAAAGAGGAAAGATCAGGCCAACGTATCTTTGGCCTGGTCTACCTGGTGCAAAAAGGGAACATGCCAGCAGTTTGGGGAGTTGCGTCAAGCTGGCTACATCCAACTAGTTGACCACATCCACCCAGTCAGCCACACCCACCCAGCCCCCTGAGGTCAACCACAGCCCTGATGTGGCCCTCAATGAAATTGAGTTTGACCCTCCCCGTTCTAGTGGCTTCCCCTGTCAGTTGGTGGGATAGTCTTGGTGACTCTACAAGCATCAGTTTCCACAGCAGCTTTTTCAAGTCTTGTTTGCTTTAGATGAGGAAAAGCCAAAAGTGTCCTGTATAAATATTTTATTGCTTTTGAAATAATAGCAGAAACAGAAAAAAGCAAATGGAACAAAATACAAAAATACACACGTTATAAAAAATGCATAACAAGTGCTTAAAAGATAATTGACCAAATTAGACATAGAGCATGTTGTCAGAACAATAAAAAGTTACACTTCTATATATAATTACATAATAAATTTTTTTAATGTTTTTTAAAATAATAACAAAAAGAAAAAAACACAGGAGATGCTGAGAATGGTTAAGCTGTCTTCTGTGTTTTACTTATGAATACAAATCATTGCAATTCAAGGATATATGATGCCCCAGATAACACTGATTGGTCATCTGGGGACATTGATTGGTCATCTGGGGCTGATATGAAAATCTACATTTTTATAATGATTTGAAAGAAAGGGCAATTTTGGTGCTTCCTAAGCTTTGACATCCTAGACCAATATCTACTTGGCCTTAGACCAAAGTCAA